GGAAGTATATTGGGTGATATTTTTTAGTTTGCCATCAGTCTCAATTTCTGTATTCAAATTCATTTTCAATTTGTCGATTAAAGTATAATTAGAGTGCAACTGTGTATTATAATTTTTATACATTATTACCATCGTCGAAGTATTAAGAACAGACTGAAGCTTTAAGATCTGATGTAAGCCATCCTGTTGAAACTTCTGCAAATTTTGTGGTGTCATTTTTATGATGAATTTCACTGTGGTGTCCGTGTGATATTCTTTGTAGTCCCTAAAGAGATATAAAACTTCATTTAGTTTACTAACTTCCATAATCTTACAGAATTTGAGGTTTCTGCTTTTCAGAACCGTAAAGCATAGTTTCCATGACGTTTTCCTTGTAGTTCTGGGTCCACGTACCAATCGGTAATTCAGTGATTTCAATGGAAGAATCGTCTATGATGGCAACTTCGCCGTTCGAAATGAATCGCTGGCGACCGGCTTCGACGATAGTGCCTCTGAAGTTTTTGTAAAATGGCTTCTAAACGAATAAAGACTGAACTGACATACATAATAGCTTACAATCATATATAGAAGCTGTTGCTGAACCAAAGCCGCGGAAAATATATTAACGAACAGTTGTATTGTTTGTTTTTCATTCAAAAGTTCAGATTCACTGTTTTATTAATTAAATGCATAATTTAACTCAGTGAAGTTAACCTTTGGATCCTAGATTAGGAAAAGTTCATATTTAGTGCCACGATCACAGAACTAGAAGGTACTGTTGCTCTAGTGCACTGGAAGCGCAGAACAGAAAACGCGTAACCGTTTGGGTCGTATTTTCTTACACAGCGATAATAGCGCTATGGGTGGGACATTTGGTTCACCATGCTCTTTGTGCGGTAACTGATCCCGACTTCGAAGCTACCCAGCCACTGAACCTTGTTTTACAAAATAACAGCCATAACCCTGTAATAAGCCTATAACCAGTGTAATAAACATCAGCATATTATCAAGTTTACACCGCAAGGGAGTTGATTTTCTTTTCATGAATTTAATTGTGAGACGATGATCCTCACTTCTATGTCATCAGCCAGGAATGTCGTATTTTAAAGGAAGAGTCGACAAGAACCATATGACTAGCAGAGTGACTAGTTCTGTTTCCTTCCCACACAATAGTAATCAGTTCTCAACTTATCGAGGAAGAAAAGAAAGGGACCCGACTAAGGATCAAAGGCTGAGTCTCTGTCCTGAGTCAGAGGCTCAACCAACTGAGCCAATCCAGTCATTTAATACTCCTTCTTCTTAACCTACTTAAAACGAAAGTGGCATTGCCAGACAGAACCTTTTATCAAG